AAAAAAAAGTCTTATTGCAACGAGCTCCAGTCTTTTTAGTTTGATGAGTGGAGTGTTGGGAACGTGTAAGATTTTGCGGGGAAATAGTTGAATAGAATAGTTCTTATGGCAGATCTAAGCAATTACAAAATATATTGACTGCTGGCCATTTAATACCCAACTGCATTCTAGGAAGTGAAGATGATGCTAGAGAATAATGCTTTGGAGTATGCTAGCTTCCCATTTTTTAAAAAAGTTCAGATACTTTTATTTGCAATTTAAAAAGTCAAATGGACAGTGGCATTAATAGGAGATGAGGAAGTTTTCTATAGATGGCATTTTGGACACATGATGTTTATGGAAAAATAGGTAGGATTAGCCCCAGTAGAAAGCAAGATGTTTCAGAAGAACGTTATGATCTAAACAGGGAACCTCCTGCTGCCCCTCTTAACATGGATAATACGAACCTGCTGTGACTGGAAAATGAGGTAGTAATAATGTGAGGCACTAGCAATTTGTCATAAACAAACCACAATGGAATTCACTGTGCGTTGCTTCAATGTCTCTCCCTGCAATGAGATCCAATGGGTTTTATTAACCAGAATACTTTGATTAATTATAAAAAGTGGCAAGGTAGTAAATTAAGGTTGTTCCTGGGTTTATATACTCCAATATCCTTTGGAAAATACAAGTTAGATTTTTGGCCCAGAGGAAACATGCTATATGATAGCTACCCCAAATAAGTAATTAAGTGATTGAGTTGTAATAAGAATAAAAGGAACTTCTTTTCATTTTTCCCTGACTACATCTCCTTATTCCTTTCTTCTCTTGCTTATTTTCATCTCCCTTCCCCCCTGCTTTCCAATTCCCCAAGTGGAATAATCCTCTTAAGGCTGTGGAGAAAAATAGTACAAAAAGAATCTGCTTCTCTGTAAATCTTGTTAATTTGTATGATTGCCACTCTTCGACACTGGAGAGTAACAAGGTTTTAGATTCAGTGGCGTAACTGTCCTTTAATCTGTTTTCAGTGCAAAGGATGGAGTTTTTCGCAGATATCGTGGCTCGAAGGCCTTGGAGGATCTAGAGAGTTATATCCTGGAGAGGAAATGGGAAAGTATAGAACCTGTGGCAGGATGGAAGTCTCCCTCATCTCTAATGTAATTATAATGCACTATCGTGTCCCAGACTGGAATTTCATCCTAGGTTAAATGCAACCTTAGCTGAAAATAGCAATTCCCAGTTGAATATTGTTTACACTTTTTAACTTTCAGGGTGACTTTTGTGGTAATTTATGTTTCATTCTGCTCTACCATCTACTGGTAGAGATTGTCCAGTGCTTTCAGGATTATAGGAAGGTATTTATTTTGCATTTAATTTTGAGCTGTAGATCCATGTTTTTAGGGAATAAAAATCATAGCAGGTGCTAATTGGTTGTGGTGATGACATATGGAATATATGCATTTAGATGATTCCTGTAGAGTACAGCTTAGTGAAGATTGCTATGATATCTTGTGTGAAGTTTATTCATTATGATAAAGATCTTGTATAAATGTAGATGAAACTATGATAAAATCTGATAATTTGGTTTTACTAATACATTCTGTAACTATTGTAAAGGTTGGTTAGAGAAAGACTACCACTTTCCTTTTATTTTCATAGTTAAATTATTGTGTCTTTCTTGATCAAGTAACATGAGAAATAATCAAAGTCCCAGAAAAAAAATGGGACCACACTTTTTCAATCTTTAATTATTTTTAGTGATCACATTTATATTGATTTTTATTAGGATGTGTGGAATGGCAGGACTTTTCCATTTATCTGGATGGATCAGAGTAAGTAAGCAATATGTGTCTTAAGTAATGCAGAAAAACTTTACACTTGATCTATGGTTTTAAAAGGTCTGTCATGTTCCCCAATGATCATACAGCTTTATACAGTATGGAAAGAATATAGTTCAATATTAATGCTGATCAAATCTATCCAGGGAAAAAGTTTCTACTTCTAAAACTTTGGTTCAAATTGTGACAAATTGAAATTTTGTAAATTTTATGATGGCATGCAAGATTTCAACATGGTTGCATATCAACACTCCGTAATCTGCCATATGGGTAAAAGCTCTAACAGATTTATAAACTCTTCAAAACTGTGTTTTAAATTAAATATAAAATCCATAAATTTACATTTAGAAAGTGCTAAATAGCAATAGCACTTAGACTTGTATACTGCTTCACAGTGCTTTACAGCTTCTCTTAAGAGGTTTACAGAGTCAGCATATTGTCCCCAACAATCTGGGCCCCTCATTTTACTGACCTTGGAAGGATGGAAGGCTGAGTCAACCTTGAGTCTGTGAGAATCGAACTGCCGAACTTCTGGCAGCAGTTATTAGGATTATTAGGAGTCTTTTGGGCACCAGGGACCAGATCCATAGAGAAAAGTTTTTCCGCTTGGAGGGGGCATCATTTTGCATGCTGCCTGCATCCTACTGATTGGGCTTTGCTTGTTTGCGTGGCCCTGTTGCTGGCATGCTGCGGACGGGTGCCAATCCACAGTTTAGGGATTGGGGGCCCGTGGTCTAAAACCAGGGGTGGGTTTCAACCGGTTTGTGGCGGTCCCCACGAACCGGTTGGTCGGCGAACCCGGAAGTAAGTAACTTCCGGGAACGGCGAAGGGCCCACCCGCACGCCCACGTTCCTTACCCGGTTTTGACGGGTTCTGCGCTTCCACGCATGCGCAGGACGCATACAGCACATGCGCGATCCTCCAGGAGCATCTGGAGCATCGCACAGACGCTAGTATGCATGTGTGCGCTGCGCGCGTGCACGAGGATGCCGCCGGCCCCGTTCCAACCGAACCGGTTGGAACGGGGCGAGAAACCCACCCCTGTCTAAAACATACAGAAGAAAATACACAGTTGCTGTTTACCTGTATATTTAGACAATGCTATCACTTGTATTCAGAAATAAAAGTTCTAATATTAATGCTACTTATAAGCCTGGGAAACCAACAGTTGGAAAGTTAATCAGAACAACAAACAAGCACAGCAAGACTCTCAGTTTCTCTGAGTAGGTTCACAATATCCACTGGCTTTATGTATGCGCAGCTCCTGTGTTTTTCCTGTAGGTACCTAAGCTTTAAAATCAGAATAATCTCATTCTGTATTGATGAGTGTGAAGTGTGTCTTGTGAGAAATTAGAGTAGACATAAAAATGCTTTGTTCAATAAATTGAATTGCTTCCGTCAACAATTGTTGGTAACTTAAAACCTGCAGGGAGTGCCTCATCTGAAAATTAATGTTAAAAAAATTGAAAAACATAGTAATCTAGTAAAAAAAAAAACCTCAAATGCTGAGCATGGGTACATATTCCAGCTGGCACTACCTACTATCCGCAAAAGACACAGCCAATGATAGTTTTATAAAGGATGTTGATTTTGTAAATGATTTATGAAATTGATTCAAACCTCTCAAAGTCAAAACAAAATTGTATTTTTCTGTAATTACATTTTCAGAATGCATGAAGATTTGAAGATATATTGTACAAATGTCATTCCAAACAATAACTGATAGATAATGGAACACCAATTTCAATTCAAATTATGTTTCTGTTGCAGCAAATCCACAACTATTTTACTGGCACTCTTGGGATTCATATTTGGGTTTCCTACGCCATCTTCATATTAGCCACCCTTCTGATAGGTCTTATCTTGGCTTTGGTAAGAAAACAGTTTTATATTCTTAAACCAAGATGTAGAAAAAATGGGAATAACAAAATGTATTGATAACAAGCACAGCAAATGGTATCCATCTGAAGAGTTCACTATAGATCAAGAAAACATTGGTATTCCTACTGTATTGGGGAATTGTGGAAAAAATGGTAGATCAAATCTTTCTATTATGTTAGAGAAAATAGTACCGTATTTTCACGACTATAAGCCGCACTGAAAATCCTAAAATTTGATAAAAAACCGGCAGTGCGGCTTATAGCCCGGTGCGCTTTATGTATGGAAAAAGATCGAAAATCTCTCCCTCCCGATTTGACGCTCAAACTTGAAGCACGAGGACGGCTGGGCTGAGCGCCCGTTTCCGAGCCTCCCCCCCCCGCTTGGTAGGAAGTCCAGATCGAAAGCCAAGCCTGCAGCTGGCTGGCTGGCCGGACTACCAGCCCCAGCAGCAGCCCCTCCACCCCTGCATTGACGCATCGTTCAACTGACCCATTTTCCCCCCGGGTTTTATTTGCCAGCGGAGCCCACCCACCAGACAGACCCTCACCCCGTTTTCTCCCCCCGCCCCACCCAATCCGGGTTAGAGGTGTCGTGCGAACACGTCTCTCGGGACGCCCCCCCCTCCAATTCGGGTTCAAAGCATCGCGCGGATGCGGGAAGCCTCCTGCTTTCTCTATTCTTCCTCTTTCTCCCTCCCTCTTTCTCTTTCTCTTTCTCTCTTTTCCTCTCTGCCGTCTTTCCCGGA